TTTCTACAGAGAAAATATTTTCCAGTTTCAAATAACTCTGGACTACTTTGTAATTATAACCTGTTTTTATGTTAAAAAAAACATTTAAGTGGAAAATGCTGAAGGACCACTGAACATGATATTGTATTTACATATCTATATATGTATAAAATAATGATTATAAATGTTTGTTTAAAAAGGTGAAGTACAAATGTGAATTTAACAAGAACTTGTAGATTTTCAACACTGTACACAAACTCCTTTGTTACAAATAAATATTTATGCTTCAAAAAATAAGAAAGAAGGTTTATTAAAACTCATGAAGTAAACAACTCAATAGCTATAGGAAGTCCCTAACACTGATCAAATTACTTAGACCATCCCCATTCCAAGCTTTTATAAGTAGTCAGGACTGATAAGAAACTCCCTCAGACTAGCCAAGCTGTCCCAAAAGGCTGGGCTACATGGAAGAAGCTTAGACCACCTGAGATGTTTGCAAGAGATACTCCCCGGTATGTTGAGCTGTCTGTAAACTGTGCAATGTGTAGCATGAATCTTAAAGAGTCTTATTAATAAAATCAAACCTGAGGCCAGTTATTGGGGTGAATGCTGGAAGATCAGAGAAGCAGAACAAGCCACAGCCACCTCACCTTGCCAGTTCCTCAGCTGATCCTGTTTCCTCAGACTGGAAGCCCCTGTGTCCTCATCCAGAATGGATCTCAGCTGAAATGCTACTAGAAGCCTAAAAGCTTAACCAGCTGTAGTTCCCAGTCCTCATGCCTTATATACCTTCCTGCTTTCTGCCATCACTTCCTGGGATTAAAGCTCACTTCCTGGGATTAAAGGCGTGAGTCATCATGCCTGGCTGTTCCCAGTGTGGCTTTAAACTCACAGAGATCCAGATGATCTCTGCCTCTGGAATGCTAGGATTAAAGGCGTGTGCTACCACTGCCTAACCTCTATGTTTAATATTATGGCTGTTCTGTTCTCTGACTCCAGATAAGTTTATTAGGGTGCACAATATTTTGAGGAACACAATACCACCACAGCAATGCCCTCCAGCCTCAGTGAGCCATCACCCAAACTGGGGTGGGCTTTTGGTGATGTAATTACTGCTCCTGAGGGTAACCACTCACTCATATTTTTGTAAGCAACTTCAGTAAAATTCATTGGTTTACTCAGTTGGACTTTGGTAGTATTCTTATTTTGGTCTATCATCAGATAGGAATCTCAGGTAAGTTGATGTTTGTTCATGTTGCCCCAGAAATAGAGCAATACTGTTATACAACACATACAGCTTAGACATGCATCACAGTACAGGAAGAAAGTGGCTAATACTTTTAAATAACGTGCAAAGCTTCTCTCTTGCCTTCTCAGATAGAAGACACTGGCTGTTCTTTAAAATTTAATCCATAGATATCCTCCTACCCAGAACACAAAGTACTAAGATCAAAACATGTCCATGTTTTGCTTCCAAGTCACAGGCCTTGCTATTTTATACTTTCGGAGATAAACAGTAAAACTATGCAGAACTTTGGAACATTGGAATAAAGCTGCTTTAAAGTCGCTCTCTAGTCTATGGTGTTAGGAGAGTAGCCATGGAAAAACAGAAAGCATCCATCAGGATTCGCTTATGAAAAGGGGTAAAATCACACAGAATGTTTGGGAAATCTCCAAGTTCTACCCAAGTCACAACAAATTATCTTTACAGTAGTTACAATGTTCACACTAGTCCTCTTTAATTCTTAAGATCTTATTACTAAGGAAAGATTTTAAATTTATAATAATTTTTTGTCTACCCTCAAAGAAAACAAGAGTTACAATTCTGTTTTGGGCCAATTTAGTTTGAATAACTCTGGAATTAGTAATTGGCAGATGGGCTTCTCTTCCTTACCAGAGCCCTACACATGGATGCTTTTGTTAAGCTCTGTCCATGTCTGTGGTTAACAGCCTCTGGCCAGGCTAGGGAGTGTAATCTGGCCTAGAAAATGCAGAAAGATAAACACTAACCTGAAAATAGCCTTGGGAGCTTGAGACCCAAAACCCTAGGCCTTGTGGAGTGTGGCCAAATAAGTAGTACATAGATGCTAGGTGATTTTTTTTCCTTGGTTTATGACTCCCAATCTAAGAGTTCTATCAACATAGAGCCAGAGGGAAATACTTTAAGAGCTGAGACCCAGTTTTTTAGGTCAAAGACAGTGAAGAAGTTCATTTGATTCACATGATATATTAACATGAATTAAAAATATCCTTGCCCCTATTAATGAAGAATCACACTAGATATAGCCCATATAGAAGTAGGAATGTTGAGCTGGACAACAAATACAACTTTTATAAAAATTATAAACTAAAAACAAAATTAGTTACTCAGAGAAAGAAACTATCATTTTATGACAAGGAAAATATTTCAAGAACTCTAGGCTATAGATGTCCATCAACCAATGAATAGATAATTAAATCGTGGTGTGTGTACAGGATGGAATTTTATTCAGTTATAAAACAATGAAATTATAAAATGTGTAGGAAAATGTATGAGACTGGGAAAAGTCATACTGAATGAGATAACCCAGGTACAGATAAACAAATAACTACATGCTCTCTTGTGGATACAGATCCTGGCTTTGATTCTTAGATTACTGTCTAATTGAAGTGCTTATAAAGGCCAGAAAGCCAAAGAGGAGCCATAAGAGGTGAGGGGTGGCACAAAAACAGGGCCGTAAGGAGTGGGGATGGTATAACAAAAATGACACAGGAGTAGAGGGTAGGAAACGGGGTAGGAAGGCCTGCGGGAGGATGTGGGTGAGCAGACAAGGAGAAGAAGTAAGTAAAAACCAAGGATGTGCGAAAAATCCCTATGAAAACTTAGGCTGTAAGTCTACTACAATCATAGTTTAGAAAAACAAAACAAACAAACAAACAAAAACAGCTTTAGATTGAGGCAGTGTGCATGGGTGGAAAATTTTCTTCCAAGAAGCCTAAAGTTATTGAATGAAAATTCCAGTGGCAGGAGTGAGATACTGTCCTGTGAGCTGTTGGTTAGGGTGGCCCAGGAAGTCACCCAAATGTAACAGGTTACTGCCATCGCTCTTGGTTGCCCAACAAAAATAGACTGTCAGACTCTATTGCTGAAGACACTGCACACTTGGATTGTAATTCATTGAGAAATTAAACTGAGTCTGAGCTGTTAAGTTCCCTCCCTGCTGGCTAGCTCTCAGGGCAATGGAAGAAGCTGTGTAAGTGGATGGAGAAGAAAAGTCATTGAAGGTTCTACCTATGTATGCACCCCACAAGCTAAAGTAAGGAGCTGATAAAATATGGCCACTAGTAAAATAGTGGGGTTACTATTATGGGGACAACAAAACTGTATTTTGATGTATTTGAGGCCAATTCCATAGAAGGGAACTCCTGCCTGATACTGTAAACTTGGTCAAAAGCCCTTGTCTGGAGAGGTCAGAGATCGCAAGGGAGAATTCACTACTTTTTTTTCTAAATAGACATGTTGTCAAATTGCCTTCTACATGTTTATGTTTATACCCATTCCTTAGTTCTGCCGTCAGCCTTCACCAAGAAGTTCCTTTTGTGAGGGCAGTGGTTAATGCAGAGGCTCACAGTTGATCAAAGCACCTCTGTGCTGTGATAATATTTGATAATTTACATATGAATATGTAAATTTACTCTCTATAAATGACTTCAGAAGCTTGACCTAAGGCCCAGGGAACATTGTGAGAGAGGGGGCAGGATAAATATAAGAGCCTGAGTTTGGGGAGGAATTTTGTGAAACAATATATTTGTTACATGATACAACTGCTGACTCATGAGTTCTGTAGTTGTGATTAGCTGCATAAAACTGGACCCATTATCATGTGTGGAAGATGAGTTTATGAAGCCTCACCTTTGTAATTTTTTTAAATTTTATTTTATTCAATTAACATTATTTCATTTATTTTAAATGCAAACCATAGTTTTCCCTCCCTCCTCTCCTCCTGTCCCCTCCCACACATTACCATCTACCACTATCCCCAACCACTTCTCCTCTGTCTCCATTCAGGAAGGGATGAGAAGGCCTCACCTGCCAAGGTGAGCTGACGAGCTGGGCAGGAAGAAGCCAGTGACAGAGACTTGGAGCAAATGGTAGGATGATGAGGAAGAGCCAATGGTGTGGGGTCCAGGCATTCTGAGGGAGAGTAAGGAAAAGCTAGTTAAACAACATACACACTTGAGTGAGTGTCCCAGTCTTCTGATTCCTGCCTGATAGTTTATTTGGGTGAAACCGGCATAAAAAGGCAGTCATTTCCTATGGACTCCAGGGTGATCTCAGGGTGATGCTGGAAGCCGTTTTCTCACAGGCGTGGCTAACATCTGCTAATTAGACCTACCCCAGCATTTTACCACCGGCTTGTTCTTTGCTTTGAGTGGCATTTGTTAAATTGAGTGTGCGGTCAAGGGAGAGTGATGAGAAGTGGGGCAAGGGCACAAGCTTCTCCATGTCTGCAGGCTCCTCAGCACTTCCTAAATCCCCAAAGTTGTTGACTTCAACCAAGTATGCTGCTGCATGTGTACACATACAGAATACAGCAACTACCTGAGAAGGTAACTGTAAAGAAATGTACAGTTTCTAAGGTGCCGAGACGATATCAGCGTGTGCAACATTGCAGACTGAGTCATGCATAGTCGAGTGTCTGCTGCTATCACTAACACCATGGCCTCATTAACTCCAGAAGGTCCTATAAAAAGGGCAGCACCTGCTGGGCAGCCTTATTTTCCCACCCATTAACCACAGTTACCTGATCACAAGATGGCCTTTTGCATGTACAATTACATGATGCCACTATGCCTTTCCTGAGCTCAGAGTATGACAAGAAGCTAGTGGCTTTGTGCTGTGGGACGGTCTATATGTCAAATTGCTCTGATTGGTCAATAAATAAAACACTGGTTGGCCAGTGGCCAGGCAGGAAGTAGGTGGGACAAGGAGAGAGGAGAATTCTGGGAAGCAGAAGGCTGAGGGAGAGACACTGCCAGCCACTGCCGCCATGACCAGCAGCATGTGAAGACGCCGGTGAGCCACCAGCCACATGGCAAGGTATAGATTTATGGAAATGGATTAATTTAAGCTGTAAGAACAGTTAGCAAGAAGCCTGCCCTGGCCATACAGTTTGTAAGCAATATAAGTCTCTGTGTTTACTTGGTTGGGTCTGAGCGGCTGTGGGACTGGCGGGTGATAGAGATTTGTCCTGACTGTGGGTAAGGCAGGAAAACTCAAGCTACAGCTTTGGTCAACCGAGACTCCGCTGCCTACAAATTAAGTAACACTTGCCTCTGTCAACAGGGAGTTATGATATAGATGGGGCTGGGAAAAAAAAAATGTACTCACATGAAGTAACCACTGACAAACTCCCACAGAGTAAAACCATTTCTTTGTTTACTGAATTAAACTGTGGCCAAAAAAATAGTCTCACATGAACGCTCACGTTCTAGGTATATTATACTAGAACATCAATATTTCAAAGCTGATGAATTCCACAGGCCAAGTACCAATGCCCCCAATCTGGGAAGAAGAGTAAGATGCTGGTAGAAGAGGACCATGACAGCTGTGAACTTGAACTTTGCTACTCCCTGAGCTGCTCTTTTAAAAACAACCTTGAATCATCATGGATAAGCAGGCACAGGGGTGGCCAGCTCAGAGAGCAAAACTTTGAAGTCAGATATGATCATTGACAATAAATCTATTCTGATGACTTAACTCCTAATATAACCCAAAGGCATGTGATATATTTAGATATAAATAGAACTGGATTCATAGATGGACCTAGAGATACAGTCTCTACTACATTAGTAAGAAAGTGTACACCCTGCTCTTTTGAGTCGAACAAGTAAATTCATATAGAATTATTTATATAATTAGTATTGTGATCTATTAGGACATGTTTCCTAAAGTAAACATAAAGGTGCTTTGAAAATTCACTATATTTTAATATTGGCCTGCAGCTGTGAACTGGCTCTTAGGTTTTAAATTTGGCACTATAAACAGTTACTCCTTAGCAATTCTTTGGTTTCTGGCACCATACTGGGTCATGGTTCCTTGGAATCCCTTCTGGCCACAGCAAAGATCTAACATCTGATGCAGGGTTTCTACATTCATCTTTTGAAAACTATGTTAGACCAATCAGAGAAGAGCAACAATCAGGATCCAGGGCTTTGGTCCCTCTTATCATTCCTTACTGATTTGGTAGGACCAGCTCTGAATTCCTATTTGTCCATTATGATGCCAAGACTTAACTCCACACAGCATGTAAGTCATTGACTCTGACTTAGGCTGCCTCTCATCCTTGACTCTTGCAGTTTCTGGAACTCCTAGCCAGGTAATAATTAATCCCCATGTCAGCCTTTTCTCAGAGCTTCCTCACAACCTCTTACTGGATTTTATCTTCTTTGAGACCACATTTTTCCTGAAGTCTTCTCAAATGGTAGGTAGCTCTTTTACCCTCAATATTTCCTAATCCAGAGGGTGGGAGGTGATCTATCAGGTGACAGTACAGGCTGCTAGTATCTGAATTTAGATAGAATCACTTGGTACTAGGTACTGCTCTAGCTTAACTCTCACATCACTATGAGGTACACATGCCCCTGTGCCTTTTTTTTTGTATTTGTGGTTTGTGGGTGATAACTGTTCAAAAACAGTCACACAATATTAGAACCCAGTTTTTAATCAGAGTCCATTGTCTTGATAACCATGTTGTATTGCCACTCATCATTTATTGAAGAGTTAGTTCATTAGATTACTGTCTTTTCCTCATTTCTGGTCCTTTTATCAGTCTTAACAACTTTACAAGATGCAGACAAAATGCTTCAACATCCAGTTCTTTAAGTTCCTTGATGTCATCTCTCTCCACCAACCACTTTCCTAAGCTCACAGCAGAGCTTGCCATTCCCATCATTCAAATCTTACTTGCAAATACCTCTCCCCTAGTTTGGCCACAGTCATTCATCTTTCCTTAAAAATACTTTCACTCTTGTAATTAATTGTTCTACCTCAGTATGGGCTTTCATTCTCCTAATCTGGGAGCATTGTTCTCCATTACTATACATATTCCATTTCCTTTCTCTTCACTCCCCAGTCTTTCCTTCCTCATAGAATTCAATCCCAGGTGAGTTTAGCTCTTCACCTACACTTCCAACCAACCCTGGGCAATTGACCATCCTAGAGAAAATATTCAGCCACACTCACTTGAATTTATGAAAGCTATTTTCTGTGCCACCTAACAATTCTATATTTTAGTGGTCAGTTCCCCTTCTACATCTTGAAAATGACCATTTTAATAACTTTGCTCTCAATAAACAAGAAGGATCACCTATTTTGCATCACCACTTTAATTCTCCATAGGTAATAACCTTTCCACTTATTTGCTAAGTAAACAGACTCCATGAAAAGAAACCATCTCCTGTTCCCACTCTTAAACCTCAAAACTGACTATATCCATGCTCATGTATTCTGCATGCTCTCTCTGCAGAAAATATTATCCGAGCTCACTACCAATGATATGTTTTATACTACACAATATATTTAATCCTGAGTATCATTTGGAGATCAAACTATATATGACAAAAATTAAAAACAAACAAAACCAACAGACCTACATCCAATGTTTTCAGGTATCCCATTGCCGGCTTTGTTGCTGTTTCCATCTAAGGGTATACTTCAGTAGTTTTTAATTTCACTTTTTCCCAAGATAATTGTTCACCCATTAACATGATTGACTATAGAAATAAGTAATAGATGTAGCATTTTTACTTTTTCATTGGATTCCCAAAATGAATTCAACATTTCTCAGAATATTGAACATTTAAATTATTATTTACCTACAAAGTCCAAAAGCACAGCCATAGTAGGCCACTTATAACACAGACAGCAAACTATAAACCAATGTCTGACGTCTGTAATGACATTCAAGTAGGAAGAGGAAAGATAATCTGTTTAGACAAACCCCCCAAGATAAACAGGCAAAAGGCATCACTTAAAGATGTAAAGGGTTATTAAGCAAAATTTTATTATTTTACCTTATGAGAAGTTTCATATAACCTATAATAATTTCTTTTAATATCTCATCCCATACTTAGAAAGGAAGTCATTAATGGAGTTCTAGAGAGAGAGTTTATGGGTGTCTAATTGTCACATCAGCTTCACAGTTTACCATGTAAGTCCAGGACTTGCCAAAAATCAATCACCCACACCTTGTGAATGTGTCCAAGTGGCTGACGGGACACTTTGGTCACCTTGGCTGGAAACTTGATGATAACATTCCCTCTTTCCCCCTTTCTACTTTTATCTCAACAAAGTAGGACCCTAGAGACCTGGAGCATGCTGTCCATAGGAAGTATACAGGAACATCATAATCTACTAAGGGAGATAGGACATTCACAATATGCATGTGCACATACAAAAATTAAATCTCAGCTGTTGATGTGATACAGTTGGTATTAGGTACTGAATGCACACATCCCAAACAAACAAACAAACAAACACTACATGAATTACCAGTGTCTCATGAGTAAACAAACATTTTTATTCTACAAAATGTCATGCACAATTTAAAATTTTCCATTAATCTTTTAACCCATGTCCTGACACCATCATTGTCTCAGGGATTTCTATAATTCCTTCATGGCAAGACTCAGATTCTTCAATTCATGATATAATTTACTAATAAAATCTGCCTCCCTGGGCATTACTTCTGTTACTGCCTGCTCAAAAACAGAGTAAATCTCCTCTCTTCAAACCTAGTACAATAATAAATTACTCTCTTGGCTTTAAGATATGTCAGATCCTAGGCACACTCTGAAAACCTGCCATTCTTTCCCATGAAACTCTGATTCCTTTATATGAAACAATCACTAACCTTACAGACATCTGGATTCCTGTTGCTTCTCAACCTCCCAAAGGTTGTCTTTGCCTCACCAAAGCAGCATTCCTCAGAAAGTACTAAATTTCAGTCTCTCCTTCAAGGCTAAGAGCCTTTCTCTCCGTTAACTTCCCTGTCTCTGGACCCTTTCTTTCTCCTCTTCTATGCTCCTGGCATACAAGGCATGCACCTTACAGAACAGCTCAAAAGCTCACCCGTTGACTTTGGCTCCTCCAGTTACTAAGCCCTAGAATATAAAAGGTGTTTTCTAGATTCTACAGTATGTTCAGTGATGAGTAACAGCAGGAATTTATTAAATGCCCAGAAGTTTGTG